AGTCGGAAATACATAAAAGTATAACGCAATATGCACTTTGTATACCAGTTAAACAAGATAAGAAAGCAAGTACTTTGAGAAAGTTTTAAAGACGCAATCATGTAAAATTACTCCAATCTTAATAATTAGTAAAAGTTTAAATAAAGGCAATTTTAAGGATTAAATATACTTAAGCAAATTCTTAGTCTTGTTCTGATCCTCAAGTAATTTAATCAAATATTAAAATTATTGTGAACAGTATAATATCTAAACAGAACCCAATGTAACAACAAAGTAACAAAAAGAAAATATTTAGCAGGGAGTTAAATTTAAAATATAATCTTCCGAAAAAGTAGAAACAAGTTATTGAATATGTAATGGCTAATGCCTAGTCTCGACTAGACCAGCTTATACTCGAAACGCGGGACCAAATAAAGCTCTCTCTGCACTAGTCTTCGCGAATTCAGCCTTGCCCACATATGAAGGTGTGTAAGACTTCAACAGTAGACCTTTTGCCACCAGTTTTCTCCTTATAAAAAAAATACAATGTAAGCCAATTTGCCATTTACTAATAGATCAGCTTGGAAACTTCTAACAATGAAGTCGTGAATACGGTCAGACTAAAGGTGAGAGGCATGGTGACCAGATTTAGCCCTTATGCGTGGCTTAAAAAACAAACGCGATTAATTACATACTATTGTATAGACCCAACAGACCATGATCCAACACAAAATTTAAATGTTTTGTCGAGAAATTTAATAGACCACAATAAAAAACGATTTTATTGTTAAAAAATAAAAAACATAAAGCTCCTTCAAGTCTGAATGCTAAACATAATATTTTATTCATTAGATGAAACCTACTAGATTCCTGCTTTAAAGAAAATATTCTCGTATATGAAGTTAAACCAAACAAAATGAAAACGCATTAGCTGATAAAAACTTTTCCTAAAATACTATTCCCCAATACAGCATAAACTTATGAGATACAATAAAATAAGTTCGTCTTCGTTTTACGATGAGGCACGAAGTATTGGATAAATGTCTATCAATGCGCAATAGCATAAACGTATTAGGGTTGTATAGAGATAACTGAGGATTGTTAAGTATATTTTGATTTTTATAATTGCTATGATCGGGATAAGGAAGAATGATAAGCCTCACTTTTGGTTTTAATCAACCTAAGCATATATTAAGCTTTATTAGGCTTTTCATAAAGTCTAATGTATAGTGACATTAATACATATGAAATAATATGGAGAAAGTGATTAAATAATTAATTTTGCTTGTTCATAGAAAATAATCTTTTCAACGTAAATGTGGTAAAATTGCGTCAAAATAATAGTTTATTGGATTTGGGCCCAGTTAAAACCTGTTTTGAATACTTTATATTTTTAAAATAGAATAACCGACACTAAAAATAAAATAAAATAAGGAATAGGTTATTAATAATAATGCAATTGACTTGAGTTCACTATCTAGCAGGTGAATGGAACTAAGCTTGAGCTTTTATTAAATCAAATAGCAGACTTGCAAGAGATAAGTCTGGTTATGATTTGACCTTGTACAAAATATATGCCAGTACGAGTAATGATGCTACCAATGTTGCAATCCTCCAAAATAACTGGTCCCATTGATGAAGATCCACTTTATTGGAAGCAGTCGCTCGCTGTGGTGTGGGTGATAATCCTGGTAAACTGATAACCAAACATAATTGTCAAGCCTTAATAATACAAATAATTTTAAAAAAATTAATTCTTGAAAAAGCACTTTGATAAAGTTGGGGTTCCCAATAAATCCTTAAAGGAAATGAATTATCTAAGAGCCTTAAATTGAAGGGCAAACCTCTGCAAAAAAATATAAACTTGCCCTTGAATAAATCGATTACCACTGTTTTTCACGTCATCTGACTTGACTGAACTTGATATTTGATAAAATGAGAACAAATCAAGTAAGATTAGGTATGATCCGTGGTCTTTAATAAGATTGTCGCATTGGCATTATTTCAGAAAAATTAAAAAGGATTTGTAACTTAAATTGGGTTTTGTGAGATAAATTAAGTTCATATCAATCATTTTTTCATAAATATTTTAAAAAATTCCGTTATGGAAATAGTGTCGGGTATTTTAAAAATTGAGTAAAGGCTAAGCCCAAAAGATGGACAAAAATTTCATCATAATCAAAATTTGATAGGAATAACGCATTAAAAAAGGTTTTACTCTAAGAAATTGAAGGTGCTCTATTAGGAAAGAATAGCATTCAGGAAAATTAATTTGCCTGTAAATAGTAGAGTGTGCGGAATGGCGTTGCCGCCACCAATCTGTCCGGAGAGCATAATGCTTCTGCAGAAGTACGAGAGGTATTCTTATCCCAGCTGAACGCATTGATAACGCTACCCAGCAAACCACTCGGGCCACCAGGGGGACCCAGAGAGCCGGGAGCTGGCTGATAGGTGGGTAAGCAGGCGAGAAGCAGGCGGACAGAATGAAGAAGACTCAACGGAGAAGGAGAGGTAAAAAAGCCGGGCTTCGTCGTGTCACCTGATGACCTACCCACTCGGCCGAACACGATTTGATCATCTCCTGAATTAGTTGAAAGAGTATCCGATCGAGTATCGAAATTATTTGAGTTATTACCATTGGTACGATGCTGAAAGATGCTAGGCGAATGAAGACCCGACCAGCCAGCCAGCTCTTGCAGTTCCATTTCAGCCAGATTGAATAGAAGTTCGTAGACTCCAGGATCGGAAGCGAGGACTAGACTAGGAAGTCCTACTGTAGTCAAGTACCCTGGTTCACCATGCCACAAGGAACGAGAGCTGCCGAACGTCCCAACTGTGGTTCCGAGGTCCCCAGGACTGCCAGAAACAGCCAGACTGAGGGTGGAGGAGAAGGTAGCGTCGCTCGAGGGACAGAATGCTGGTGGACTGAGATAAAACAATGAAATAACTATAGATAAAAAAGATATTATATAGATAGATTACATATATATAAAAATAGGAATATATTATACCAAGCAGGATTCGTAAAGATAACCCAATCACGTAATATAACATAGCATTTTTTGCCCTTTAACCTTGAAAAGTAGTAGATCGATATTTGATAAAAATCTGAAATGGGGATAAGAAACTATTATGAATTTAAAATTCACCCTAAAGTCAGTTTGATTTGCATTCTAAAAATAAGTGCAGAAAGAACGACAATTAGACCTTGTTAACCCTTTGGTTTGCCTTTGGCAAATAAAAAGGATATAAATAGCATTGTGTGCCATGAGATGGTTACTAAAATGACATATAGATTGGTATTCTTGCTGAGTTATGATTCGACTGCTGCGAAAGAAAGCTTCAAGAGTGGATTAACTGTAAAGTCGGGCTAGATGAATCTACTACAAGTGGAATATTAGTGCAGCATTTAATTGTGAGAATTTATGAAGGAGAGAATAGTAGGAGTGTTTCATTGAAAAATGGTTGATTACTGTTCCTTGAATACTGAATATAAGCAATTAGCACCTAGTTCGAAAATAACAAAATTAAAGAATTGTATAATAATTATTACATCGAGAGAATCTTCGAAATAATGATTCCCAGCACATACTATAGCGATTTCCACTTAACTTAATCCAACTTAGAGAAAAAACAGGGGACAAATTATTCTGGAAGTTAATCACTTTAGTTTTTAGTACTTCTCATTTTTAGTCGTAGCTACCATATCAGTAGGAGTTTAGATAAATATTTATTTACTAGTATGGAACTCGATAACATATTTCATAAGTTAGAAAAGAACCTAATCAATTTAGGCCACTTAAGGTTATTTAAAGATCGATAGTTGACTTTTCCCAAAATGAGACCGATTAGCCTCCCGATGCCCCTGAATTCTACTTAGTCTCGCCTCCTTAAAGGCATTATCATCCAGAGTGGATCGAAGTTTCAATTTCGGCTAATCTGTTCATCAGTATCTAAATACGAGTCAATTACGGGTCGTATCTTGATGACGCTAGCATTTCACTACAGAGCCATGGGTGCCAGTAGGTCGGAGAGCAGATTTGGCATAAAAGGCAGGTCAGGACTTACCCAAACCATGTTTATAATGAGGTCGTCTATTAAATAAACAATTATTTTACCAGTCTAATCAATAACCTTATTTAAGTTCGAGATAAATTGGTTTTGAGATGAACAGTAATGCTCGTACACAAAATAGCTCACCTTAAATCAATATCAGACGCAAATTACGCTAAACAAACAAGCGTGACTAAAAAAATGCGAGTTACGAAGAATCTCCTGAGATAAGATTGATGTGAAGACTTTGATTTTGTATGGAAGTACACGATGAAGAGATTCGTAGGTCAATCTCATCAGAAGACGCTGGCTGATTCGTGTTGTACTGTTACCTAAGGACTAACGTAATCTCAGTCATATTTTTTTCATTTTTTCATAAGGTCATTAAACCTGGATGACCTAGGGCTGACGTTAAGTTTTTTTCTAATTACTCTGATTTATGAACGGCTTTGCGTACAGACGTTAACATACTAATACACACAGACACTCAAAGATACGTGAATTAATCAAACCTTTTTATACGTCTATCTATATCTTACATTTTGTTCTCAATGAATATATATATCATATAGTAAAAGCCGGCCAGTCTTATTAAATTAGTGGTAACCTGAGGCTTTTGAAAGAACGAGTCCCAGTTCTGGCGATGTTCGTCATGTGGCATGGCAAACGAAAGCTCAGTCCGTCTTGGGCCGAAACGATGGAAGATGTATTGTGAACCGCATCGACCTGAACGTCGTATTAATGCCAAACGGTTGTAGTACAATGCGAATCAGCCAACGTCTTCTGGTGAGATTGACCTTCGAATCTCTTCATCATGTAGTCTCTTCCAATGAAAGTCTTCACATCAATAATGTGACAAAGTTTTGAATTAAAAATTACTGGTAATATAGAAACCTACTTATTTTGAAATTAAGTAGCGTCGTCAATTGAGATGACAAATAAATGTTTGCGAAGAAAAGTTGGGCCTCGAGGAATCACTTGCTTGATAATTGGTGAGTTTATTTCCATTTCGAGTGAAAGTGTTTGATGAGGAGATACGAAGATCGATTCCACCAGAAGACGACGGCGGATTACTCTTGACCCAGCTGAACAGTTAGAATTGCTAGGGTTTCCGTGTATTACCAATACCCACTTCCTTCTTAGTAGATAAAGGTACAGGTGAATAGACTGCAATAATCGGAAGTCCTTTGTCCATACTGCCTTTGATGGAATTAATTTTCAGTAGATAACCATCATTCTTAAGCTCAACAAATATATCAAAGTTTACTTACGAGGAAGCAATCTACACAGTGAAACCTTTCAGTTTAGTGATAAAATGTGCCCTAAAGAGAAAAACTATAATCAACAATTTTTAAACCTACAAATCGGCTAGTTTTTATAGTGTGCATATTTATCAGTTTGTCAATAAGCACTCATGAATACCTTCTGTGTAGGTCTACAAAACTATAATCCTTGCCAGGTTGATGTCTCGAATCGACATGTCGGCATCGATAAGAGGATACAATGCTTGCTGAGACATCCCGGTTTAAATCTGGCCAGAAAATTGTGAGGACAACATTTTCTATATTTCTTCAATACTCATAGCGTATTTTTCAGTGAAGTTGATGGCATGCATGCCATTTGATACAATAGGAAGGGCGGAAAAGACTAAGCAGCATGAGTAGAAGACACCCATTCAGGCGCTCTTAATTAGTTCAGAAAATAACCAACAAATGTCTGTTACTATGTTAATAATTCATATTTGGTGGTGATAAGTGTAATGCAAAAAATACGGCCTGAACCAAGTAAAAAGTTTTGAATTACTGCAGTTTTTATTTTTCTACATTATTATATTGTCCACTTGGCTTCCCTACCTTGTAGCAGTTTAAGATCATAGCCCTAGGAAATCGAGGGAGAGCATACCTTGTCCCTAGGGCAAAGAAAAAATTTACAAAACTTATGGTGCAAATGAAGACTTAATTCCGAAGCCTTCAGGAAGTTAGTTTAATACGCTATCACCACTGCAAGATTTGGTGTTCACAAGCCCATTGATAAATGCAGGCTTTATTCTTAATAAGAATTTTTCAAGGCGTATCTCAATGGTTATCTTCCTTGAAATAGTGTGCTATCAGAGAAAACAGCCTTCCATTCGAGGATCCACCTTTTGTTTGACTGTAAAAGCGATTGCCATGGGAATCTAGCAATTTATTTGAGGATGCTAATCAATTAATTGCCATCTTCCGAACCCGATGAATTTGTTCTAAGATTTCGTCTTTTAGATCAAAGATATTGTTAGAGCAAGTTAGCATTCCAAAATAAAGACTTGCGAGATGCATTAGAAAAATATAAATGTCATTGTGGCTGAGCCTTAATCCACTCTCCGAATATGATTGATGTGGATGCCTATGAAAATATGTTTCATTCAAAGCGGTTTTCCTCTCCATTGACAGTGCAAAACTAAGTACTGTGAAGTGCTCTTTAGTATATAATTATTATGCCATTTGGAGTGCTACGAGCGAATTTCACACCTCTTAGGCCACGTTTTGCGAGATAGCTATATCTTCCACTACTCCTTAAATTTGTCTAGTAGTCTAAGGGAGTTCTTAAAAAGCTTCTTGATCAAAATTTCTGAAATTTAATATATTAGTAAAATCCTTAATTTCAGTTAACCTCGCATTCGTATGTTTAACAGGAGATGCACAGCATGCCCCCAACATATTCTGGAACCACATCTTGGTACATTTTAATGGTTCCGTTCAGCTGATTCTTTTCTCTAAACTCATACACCATCGCAAATTCTTTGGGTCAAAGTGATTTCTTATCCATAGTTTCGAAAGCCCCTAAAATATAGACGCTGTCATGTGAACGAAAACGCTATAACTCGATCTCTTAAAATAATTTAGAAGGAGGCATACCTAGCATCTCTCCATATAATGTTAATATGTCCCGTCTAACGATAAAGAGTAAAGAGACACATTTAGTTATATAGAGAATACAATGTTCAATAAAATGTAATTGAAACATTTATGCATTTAATGAAACGTCTAAATGAGGGACTTAAATCTAGACTAAAGCATAATTTGAAAGTGGGTATAAGTAACAAAGAAATAGAGTATAAGATTAACTAATTTCGTCAGTCATGCGTGGGTAAGCACAGCTTAGGGCTTTTAAAAGGTGCATACGTATGGAATTCCTCTTAGATTAATTGAGATAATAATACAAGTATTTATATATACACGATCTTATGTTTACTGTGAGTATAATTAAAGAAAATGGTCGAATATAGGATATATTTAGTTAAAAAATCGTATGAATTCGGAAAATTTTTGCAGCAAGAAATCGCCTAAGAAGAAAATGGATTAGTAAATTTTTGTGTATCATCTATTTATACCGACATTGTGATTCAGGAGAAAACTTAATCTCTGGCACTCATTCTGGAAAAGCACTTAAAGGTTATCAGGAAATAAGTCTAAATATAGGCTCCATGAACATTACTTAGTTTGCCTTTGACGGTGAGTTTTATGAACAAACACTATGACAATTTTATACGCACTGTCTGCTTGCAGCCGTAAATTGTTTGCAAGGAAAAGAAATATAATTTTCTGGCCCATACTCGGATCTTTTCAGCTTGTGCCATTTGTACACACACACACACACATATATATATATATATATATATACAGAATATCTACAATAATTCTTTTAAATTAATGAATACTAATAATTCAAATATAAGCAGTATCATTCTCATTGAAAATTGTATAGGGTAGCCAGTTAAAAATGAGTCTAGTTGTTACTAGGTGCGAATGCTTAAAGAGCTCACTTGGATGTAGAATCTCGGGCACTATTTGACGAGCCGGTGGTTGCAAGGTCGAGGGCAAGTGAATTGGCACTGAGTAAACAAGAAGAGCTCGGGTGGCTGACTGGAGAAGGCACGAAGAAAGAAAGTGAGCTGGGTTGATGCACAACTGATAACACTGAGAGCTTAGGTCCATGAGAAAAACTGGCAGTAGAGGCCGTCGGCTTGAGAGCCATTGGTATCGGAGAAAGTATGACTAATAGAGGCCGACCATTCTGGAATGAAAAATAAGTGGGAGGAACCAATAAGGCAATATCATAGCAAAACGACGAACTAAGTTGGTCTAATTTAATTCCAAAGGAAGATTGCTGTGATTTTATGCCTGTCGGGTTTGAAGCGAGTTGTCGGAGTATCGTTTTGTAGCTGTGATAAGTAATAAATAGCAATAAACTTTAGCCATATATTAGAAATTTGCAAATATAGATAAGACATTCTATTGTGTGATGTATGGATAGCTATTTTATCATTGAAAAATAGAAAGGGAGATCCAATGGCTACCTTGGGTTAATGAAGAGGATGAGTGGAAAAACGTGTCTATAAAGTTAGGAAAAT